CTTTGCCAAAAGTTGTCATCATACAGGCACCAGTGGACTGCAGTTTCGACCTCGCGGGATTCGATCTTATATCTGCTATAACAATCGACTACTATACTTTATCTTTCGCATTAAGTATTGTTTCGAGAATACCAGTAAATGGGTACTCGCGAAACAATACTTAATGCGAAAAAGAATTTTTCAGTAAAGCCAAATGCACCGTCGTCTTCTGGCAGAATCAACTTTCGAATATCTTCATCAAATACTTTTACTCGAAATGGAAATGAGCTCAACAATTTTGGATCAGGAGTTTCCTTGAAACACAACTTTTCTTCGCATATAGTTTTGAGCTCGTCTAGATGAATTATTTATTTTGCTAATAAATAGGTTTTGAGTTTAGCAAAAATTCTCAAATAAGAACTTTTGATAGGTTTGGGTGATTCAAGCTGTAAAAGTTGAGTCTTTCCTGAACGAGGCAAAGTGAACTTCAATAGCATTCGGGCGTGTATTCTTCTGGGAGTGTAGGAAAACTCAACTATCCGTTTTTTCCTACCTCAAGTCGCCAAGGCTGAATAGGTTGTTGTGCCAGAACTTGTTACAGGATCGAAAGCTACTTATGCTGAAAATAAGCAGCTCGACTGAAAGAGGTCGAAGTTGCAGTCAGCTCCAGTTGCATTCGGAGGTATAGTCATCTGATGGTGGGAAAACTGAATTGTCAATTCTTATTTTTCGCGTATAAATATGGTTTTAAGACTACCAGTAACTCACAGATATGATACGCATTCACTCTCTTTCGTCTGGTAGCTTAATTTCACACAATCATATGAATTGAATTTCACATAGCCTTGCTTCGCTAAAGGTATTCTCATCCAGGCTGGAATGGATTGCCGTCTCGATCCAACCGGAATTGCTCTCACCAGCACCCCCGGTGGGACTCGAACCCAAGTTGTGCTGGCGCAGCGCATAATCTCGACGCTTAAACCACTACGCCACACGCCCACGAGTGTCCTTGGCCCACAGAGCATATGTGAATTTCAATGAAATGCAGCCATCCTGTCACATCACACTCTTGGGTGGGATTGTCGATCATATTACTTATGATTAGTCACACAAGGTGAAAATCTATTGAACCTTTTTCCGTCCCATGACGAGTATGATGAGAGAAGGGTGACATACTTACAACGCTATTCAGGCCAACGAGTTAGGAAAGTAATGCATTATTTAAATGTAGTCAATTGCTATAGCAAATACAACGTTGCTTCATCGACAACCCCATCATATAATGTGATTTGGGAACATTCCCAACTGTCCTTTGATTTAAGGACACTCATGGCAGTCTGACCTGCTGAGATTATTCGTTGCACGGTCATAGTTCGAGTCCCGCCGGGGTCCAAACTGCAGTCCACTTCAGCCGAAATGAAAGTTTTGAGAGAGAGAGAGAAGGGCATCAAGAGTGAAGGCGAGAGTGAGAGTGAGAGAAGAGAGAGAGTGTGATGTGATCATTTGAAGGGTACCGCTAAACCGCCTAGCACCGTCGGTAACGGGGAGGTGGCGAGCGGTTGACCCCATTGCGAGAAGTGGCATGGAGAGGTCAAGGGGCAAGACGGGTCTGTACGTGCGCATGTGCATGTGTGCATGTGTGCACAGCCTCGAGCCGATTCGCCGTTGTACGATAGGTCCGCTGAGGAAGTAGCGTCTGCGAGACAGACT